GAGAGGTGGGGGCTCGGTTGGCGATTTTGCTTTCAAAAATCGACCGCAAAATCGACTGTGATTTCATACTTTTAGCCGGAACTCTTTTTCTGCATCTTTTCGGATCTGAACTCGGACGATCGGGCTGAACGCTGTCGCGTCCGCGGCCGCCGCGAAGAGGACAAGTTCGGGATGAAAGGGACCTCTGCGGCTGCAGCCGCCACTGGCGGACCTGGGCCTGACACCCCAAATCAGTCCGCCGTGCCGCGCCAGCCGCCCTCGCCGCCGCTGCAGCGCGCCTGGCCCGCCCACGATGCCGAATTCGCCTGACACCGCCCGGAGAGGTGGGCCGCGTGCACCGCTGGGGGGGCGCGCGGGCGCCTCATAGCCGGAACTCTTTATCTGCATGTTTTCGGAATCCAAACTCGGACGATCGGGCTGAAGCGCGCCAACTGCAGTACAAATGACCGGCCGGCGCGCGCGCTCCAGCCGGCCGCAGGCGGACGCGAGCAGCGCGTGCGCGTGTCCGAGGAGATGCGTGTCCGAGGAGATGCGCACTTTGCTCGCCCGCGTTCTCGCGCGCCCCGAGCTGCTCGAGCTGCCCAAGTTGGCGGAGCTGCTCACGTTCGTGCTCAAGGCGCACGCGCACCTCCGCCCCGGCCGCGAGAGGAAGCGGGCGAAGAAATCGAGCGCATGCTCGGCGTAGGAGGAGGAGGAGGAGGAGGTCACGGCAGAGACCGGATCGCGCGATGCGGCGAGCGCAAGCGAGTTGGAGGAGGAGGCGGAGGTGGAGGCGCCGGGGGGCGCGGATGGCGAATTCGGCATCGTGGGCGGGCCAGGCGCGCTGCAGCGGCGACGAGGGCGGCTGGCGCGACACGGCGGACTGATTGGAGGTGTCAGGCCTAGGTCCAACAGTGGCGGCGGCGGCCGCAGAGGTCTCCTTCATCCCGAACTTGCCCTCTCCGCGGCGGCCGCGGACGCGACAGCGTTCAGCCCGATCGTCCGAGTTCAGATCCGAAAAACATGCAGATAAAGAGTTCCGGCTATGAGATTACGAGAACAAGTCCTCCGTCGTCGCTACGGGATGATCGCGATCGCGCTTCTCGCGCTGGGCCTCGCGCCGTCGTTGGCCGGCCCCGCCACCCGGCAGGCGCTCGCGCTCGCAGGCCGCCGCTCGGCGCTCGCGACGCTCGTCAGCCTCGCGCCGATGGCCGCGCTTGCGTTCGATAACGGGTTGCCGGAGATGGAAAAGTATAAGGACAGGTCCTGCCGCTGGGCGCACAGCTCGCAAATCTCGACCCCCCCCCCCACCCACACTCCTCCCCCCCCACCCCCCAAACACACACCCACATCCCCCATCACACTTCCACCCCTCTCCAAACACACACAGGCCCAAGCAGCGCGGCCCGAAGCCCGCAGACATAGGCCTCAAGGCCCGCCTGCTCAACGCGGACGGCGACGAGGCCCTGGGCTCAGTCAAGACGTGCGCAGCGACGCCAAACTGCTTCACGACGACAGGCGACCGCGATATCTCGACCGCGCCTCCTGGCGAGTCGGGGCATCTCCTGCCGACCTGGTTACCGCCCAAGGGCGCCACCGCCGCCGCGGCCATGAGCGAGCTCGAGAGCGTGGTGAAGGCGTACAAGCCCGGCCAGGCGGGAATTGACGGGGGCGGCTTCGAGATCGTGACGTCGTCGGACACCTACCTCTACGCGCAGTTCGCCTCGCTCCGGCAAGGCTACGTCGACGACGTCGAATTTGCGCCGGTGGCGGACTACGCCAACTCGCCTGCCGTACAGGTGCGCTCAGCTTCGAGGCTGGGCTACCTTGACTACGCCGTCAACGCGATGCGGCTCAACTACATCTCAAAGGAGCTGCGCGCGAAAGGCTGGACTTCGCCCGAGATCACGACAAAGACTCACCCCGAGTACTTTGGATACAATCTGCCAAAGCCGCGCGCCTAGGCGGCGTGGCAGCCTAGGCGTTCGCGCAGCCTGGCAGCTGGCAAGTCCGCACCAGTCTAATACCGGTCTTTGTACATTAGCTAATATCATCACGCCTGTCCTTTGTATCGACGTAGTTAGTTCGAATGTTCATTTGTTATCTTGCGGTAGTAACGAGTTAGAGTGAGTAAATAACATACCCCCATAACTTTTTTATAATTTATTCCGCCCGCGTCTCTCATCGCCGTCGGTTCATAACGACGTCACTCTCGCGAGTGAATCCGCCGTGCCAGCATGTACCTTCAGCTGCGCCTATGCTGAAGGCCCACCACTGACAAAAAAGTTGAGTTGCCGAACGCGCCCAAGTAATCGTCTTTAAAGCCAAACTCTGTTACCGTCGCCGTCGCCTCCGCAGCCTCCATCGCCGCTACCACGTCGCCGCCGCCACCGCCGCCGCCGCCGCCTCCGCCGTCGCCGCCTGCCGCACCGCCGCCGCCGCCACCGCCGCCGCCGCCACCGCCGCCGCCGCCGCCGTCGCACCGCATCCCCCCCCCTCCAACCTTCACCCACATCGCTTGCCTTACAGATTCTTCAATTGTTTTCCTACTTACGTCTCTTAAACTGGTATTTCACATGTAGCTTCAAAGTGGGTCTTGCTTGCATCACAGGATATGACACACACCCTCCTGCCTCCGTTACGCGATGACGTGATCAGCTCGGACAGTGTTTTCCTGCCCAGGGGCCGGCCGTCCATCCAGCAATGCTGTACAGAGGGATTCTCACTACTGGTGGGGGAAGGTCGGCGTGGTATACTGCGATGAATTCGCATACGTGGCCATTTGCAGTGCGTTTGAGGAGTATCACATCCATTCCAATGCTCGTGGCAATACTGTGGAGCATGTTGTCATGCATCCATGCTGCCTGTTCATTCGCAAAGTACGGTTGCCCGTACCTTGCTTGCGCTACTATTGGCCACATATTTCTGCGATCGTTGTGGTTAGGGGTCTTTCCCATCGGGTCGTTTGAGTGATCCTCAGATCTACGTAACAACAGGTCCTCTTGGACTTCCGGCGTGAGTAGAAGCGCATGGTTGACTGCCGCTGTGTGTAGTGTTATGGCTGTCTCCCAGTTAACCGTTCGCCCTGCGCTTCTTAGCACCGCGTAGGGTAGGCACTTTTTATCGCCTGTTACGCCGACGGGGCTTAGTCTTAGCGTTGCCAGTAACGCTGTGAAGTCACTGGCCGGGTTGGTTATCAGGGTAGGTCCAATCCTGAAGCCATCATCATCCTCTTCACCCCCTGTTGGGGCTTGTGGATTTCTTGTGGCCTTCCTTCGTGCTGAGCGTGAGCCCGCTGCCTTGGGAGGATGGGATGTCCTTGCGTTTGGTGCCCCCGGTGATACTACAATGAGACCGCTGGTCACGGCACCCGGTGGTGCGGAGCGCGGCCTGGAATTATCTGGGTGACTTGGATTCCTTTCTTTAAGATTTTCTTTACATTGTAGTCATTGATGGCAAGTCAAAAAAGTGCGGGCCATGGTGGACAGTGGGTTGGTCTCCTGCCTCCACCTGAATTCTATCTAGGACCGCCATGCGTCTGTTGTGCAATCTATGGCTGCACGCTATCACCTCTACCACGGGAAGATTCACGAACAGACATATGTAGTTAAATGCAATTAAATTCCAGTTTGAGCTTGAGTACATCATGTTATTGTCCCAATGGTGTAACGGATATCACGCCTCACCACGGATGAGGAGGTTCCAGGTTCAAATCCTGGTTGGGATTCACAATTTTGCTTTACAGGCGGCCCTTTTACAACAAAGACTCCGCATGCACATGGAATATGTAATGACAGAGAGAAATATTCCAACTTCCTTTGATACTTCCCATTTTGCCCTTTGAACAGAACAGAACGCGTAAATTCTTCCATCGCCAGTTAGTTAACCCCTCGAAATCGCCGCTTTGGTGCTGTGTCTGCGCGTTGGAACATCACCGCATGGCGAAGCTGAAGCTCAACAGAGTGATGTTCAGACGATGACACCAGGGGCCACCTGGACGCAGAAACTGCGTCCGTCCCAGGCAGTAGCATATAAATTTTAACTGTCACTTTTAAAAGTGTGACCTTCCTGCCGCGTGCCGCGGTGGGCGTCATCGTCAAACGCACACGGTACGGACGAGTTCGGCGAACTCGTGTCTAAGTTTCTAACGTCCGTCCCCGGGAGGCTCGCACACTGGAAGTGAGTTTGAGCTGATGACGCCCGCCCCGCCGGTTCTTCACGTTTGAAAGAGATGTCGCTCTTGATCATGAACATCACCGCGACCCCGTGCGCCCGGGATGACGGCCGAGGCGCTCGTCTGCCCGATCACACTCGAACCGGTCATCGACCCGGTGACGACGCCGTGCGGGCACACCTACGAGCGCGATGCACTCGAGGCGTACCGCGCCAGTCGTCTGCCGAGTTCGTCCCGCTGCAGCGTCTGTCGCGCGCCGATCCCGAACGCGCACCTCCCCTACTTCGGCCTCGGCGTCAACATCGCGCTGCGTGACCTGCTCCAGGAACAGGAGCGCATGCGCGCACAGCTCGCGAGCCACACGCGCGCGAGCCGACCGCCGCTCTCTGTCAGCGATATCGTCTTCACCCCCGGGTGGCCGCTCGGCCGCGGCGCGTTCGGGCTCGTGAGGTAGGCGACGCTCGACGGCCTCCGCGTGGCGGTCAAGCAGACGCCGGCGGACAACGAGTACGCGGCTCGCGCGATGAAGCGTGAACTCGAGGCGCTCACCCGGCTGAGCCACCCGCACATTGTGCAGCTCCTCGGCGTGGCCGAGCACGCGGGCCGGAGCGAGGTGTGGCTCGTGCTCGAGCTCGCGGAGCACGGCTCGCTGCACGCGCTGCTGCAGCCGGACAGGCACGTGGAGCTGCTTGCGGCATTCGGCGACGAGCACGCGCTGCCGGGCGCGCTCCTACCGGCTCGCGTTGGAGCTGAGCTGCGCGCTCGCCTTCCTGCACCGCAGCAAGGTGGTCCACGGGGACGTCAAGCCCGCCAACGTGCTCATCTGCGGCGGCGGCAAGGTCAAGCGCGCCGACTTTGTGCTCGCGACGATCGCGCACACGCTGCACTCGCAGGGCCTCTCCTCGGCCACGCACTTGCAGCCGCGAGGCACGGTGCAGTACATGACCCCCGAGGTCGCGCGCGCAGAGGCCTGCACGGCCGACTCGGACGTGTTCAGCGCAGCCGTGCTGCTCGCGCAGCTGCTCTCGGGCGAGCGCCCGCTGGCCGACTTGCCATCCTCGAACGATATTGTGCTCCTGGGCCTAATCGCACGTGGTGAGCGACCGCGGCTGCGACTGCCGGAGAGCGCGCCAGCCGAGCTGCGACGGCTGCTTGAGCGCTGCTCGGCTGGCGAGCTGGCCGCTCGCCCCAATGCGGCGGCGCTGCAGCTCGTGCTGCGCGCGATCGGCGCCAAGCGCGTGCCTCCCGTTGGGAATGCGGACACCGCTGAGGCGGCAGAGGCGGGCGGCGAGGCCGCGGGTGCGATCGAGGCGGCGCAGGCGCCGGCGCGCGCCGAGGCGGCTCAAGTCGACGAGGCCGAGCTGAGGCGCATGCCGTGGCCGCAGCTGGGCGCGTACTTGCGCGAGCGCACCGTGCGGGCTGGAGCGGCGCACGCCGTCCTCGCGCTACGCGTCGTGGCCGAGCGGGCCGGTGGAGGAGAGACCGCTGGTGCTTTGGGCGTCCTCCCCGCGCTCGTCGCGACGATGCGCGCGCACGCGGTCAACGCAGATGTGCAGGAGTGGGCATGCCGGGCGCTGGGCAACATCACAGCTGGTGACAATGCGCGCGTGCAGGCAGCAGCGGACGCGGGCGCGCTGCCCCAGATCGTCGCAGCGATGCGCGCGCACGCGGCCAACGTAGCCGTGCAGGAGCAGGCGTGCTGGGCGCTGGGCAACATCACATGCGGCAACGATGCGCGCAAGCAGGCGGCAGCGGGTCGCGGCGATGCGCGCGCACGTTGCCAACGCAGCCGTGCAGGACCAGGCGTGCTGGGCGCTGGGCGAAATCACATGCGGCGACGATGCTCGCGCACATTTGGCAGCGGACGCGGGCGCGCTGCCCCAGATCGTCGCGGCGATGCGTGGGCACGCGGCCAACGCAGCCGTGCAGGAGCAGGCATGCCAGGCGCTGGGCAACATCACACGCGGCAACGATGCGCGCAAGCAGGCGGCAGCGGACG